ATTTGCAGAAAATTAAATTGATCTTTACAGCTTTGATACTTCAAAAGAAGTATTTTGTAGAAGGTCCCTCTTTGAGGTTTGTCTGATGTTTTTGCATGAATAGACTGGAGTCACAGGTTTTTGGGAGAAAGACTGCAAAGGTTAAGTGACTTTCTCAGTGCTTCATACCAGGGGTGTCTTGTTATCAACGCGATTTACCATGGGTAATGCTGATCATGATCACCTGGTTAAAGTGACATATTGTGTGTGTGCGTCACACACACGTATGTATATATCCGTGTCTACATATACACACATTCAGGTATACACCATTATGAATGTTAGGGGTGTATGCTGGGTTTCTCCACTGAAAATTTCCTATTTTCCATACTGTCTCCTCTTTTCCATACTATCTCCTTGAGGAAAGACTATCTACATACATTATTTGAGTTTTCTGTAAGGAAGATTTGTCTTTTTCCTCTTATTTATTTATGCATTCATTCATTTACATCATTACAGACTCATGGATACTTATTTAATTCTTTGGGTTGTAATCTAGCATTTTGAAAAAAATGGATTTTTATACTTGATATGTCTAAATTGGAATCCAAATAAAGTATTCTTTGCATTTGGTTATATCTAAATCTCTTACAAATATATATAGAAAAACGCTTCTTCTCTTAAAGTTCAGTGAACATTTTGAAGAAATTGGGTAAACTGACCTATAGAATATCTCTTATTCTAGATTTGGCTGACTGCTTTTTTGTGTTTAACAAGTTCGTCTGTGCCCAGATTTCCTGTATACTGGAAATTAATTCTAAAGTCTTGATTAGATTCCAGTTAACTTATTTTGCAAGAAGGTTTCTTGGGTTGTGCAGAGTACTTCATTCTGTATCATACAGGAAGCTACATCGTGTCCGGGACGCCTCAGCTTTAACAGTGCTAACAATGATTGGTAGGTCCGGTGATGGCAGTTTGTTCTTTTCTTTTTAAAGATCCCTGTCAAGCTTTAACTCTTGATTTTTGCCCTTCCCACCATCACCATGATATATCTTTCATTACCAATCATGAAATGGTGTTTTTTCTATTAATCCGCTAAATTCTTCTTAATATAAGAATTACTCTTCATATACTAGGTCTAATTTGGTTACCCTGGAATATAATTCATACAGGAAAAAGAAGACAAAGGGTTAATTCATTTCCCTTTATTTATCAAACATCAGAATAAATAATGAGTGCCTTAGTAACTTTAACTGGTGATTGAGAATTTTGTTTTGTTTCTCCTACTCCTTAAAACAATTTGGTGCACAATGGTTGTCTAAAATGTATCCCATGTTTTTAAATCATTTGAAGACATCATTTTTTTGGAGCAAATATTTCCCCACCTTTGACCTGTGGGAGTGTCTCAAGTTGGCTCAAGAGTTTCTCAAATTGGCTTCAGCATGACCCCGTGCTAGCTTCCTTGCTTTCAGGCTCAAGAAGACATCCCACGTTCATTTACATTCCCTGTCCCTGACCTGGGATCAGCTATTTCTAGAAGGAGCCCTTATTCCTGTTAGTGGCAAATGGTATTTAAAAATGATATCTGGATACTAGAGGCGACCATTGCCACTAGACTGGCATGGCTTCTAGACCTGTGCACAGGGCTGGAAAACATGCATTTTATTAAAAGTGAAGATAGCATGAACTCACAGTGATAGTCACAAATCATATTTAAGATTCCAAAGTTTTTATTTAATATATTTGGTTTTCTATTCACAACCCTTTTCTTTTATCCTGAAAATACTGATGGCGATAACCATGACATAATTATATATCCTTTATCCTACACTGTACTGTAAATTGGGCTCAAAATAACCAAATTGTATCACTCTTACCAGTTACCTTATGCCCTCATCTCCCAGATTTGATATACTACACATCCTTTATTTTGCCAAAAATTTTTTGAAATTGATGTTCATAGATGAAGGAAATATTCTGGATGTGATTTAGATTGTGAATTAAGGTTAATGTGGCCAATGATTGCATTGAGTTGTCCTAGCTCCCATTAAATGTATAAGAAAAAAAAAATAGCCAGCGACTTTAATTCTACACAAAAGCTATTTCCAAACTTGTTCATCCAGAAATGGAACCATTGATTACATGCATTACCTGCCCAACCTGTGCAGCTTTTAATTCTGTATCACTGATAAATAACTCACATGTCCAAATTCCCTAGTAGTCAGTAAAAATCTTTAAGAACAAGGACAATATTTTATTCTTGTTTTGAATCCCTCGATCCTAATTCACTGCCGGACTTTTATCAGACACTCTATAAATATATACTTAATGAATGAAAATAAATCAGGGTATGTATTATGATTAAATTCAATAATTCATATTTATCTTCCCTACATTTATCTTCATGGCTTAATTTTGAATTTTAAAATAATTGCCCTACATTCTCAGATATTTTTCTAAATTATTTTTCATTCACTAACTTGCTATGTTTATCATTTATTCTTCCTTTCACTATAAAACATTCTTATTTTACAATATATACTTATTACCCTTTAGACAGCAACCATTGTTTTAGGGACTGAAGGTCACCCTCTCCTGGGGGCTCACTTGGTAGTAGAGAGAGAGACAGTCAATAAGTAAACAAACAACAGAAAATATAGGTTAGTGGTAAGTCCTTAGAAAGAAACCAGTTTACCTCAACAAGTTTGTTTCCATGTTGCTCTATAAGAAGCATTCTCTGTTTAAAGGGAAATGTCTATTTTCACCCATGTCATTGCGGTTGACGTACTTTACATCTTTATGCTGCCCTATAAGCCTAGCATGCCCTTCCCTCTTTTGTACTTCCACATGAAATAGCTTAGGTTTTGGAACTGGAAGAGGGAGTTTAAATTTGATTTCTACCAGAGTTGAACAATGCGACTTCCTGCAAGAGCATGTGCCCATCTGTAAAGCAGAGATTCAGCATCCCCACTTCTTCCCTGGGACGCTGAGTCAACAGGACCCTATTGTATGGAGAGCGTCCCCCACAATCCCTGGCACTCAGTAAGTGCTCCTTAAATGCAGCCCCCTTTCTTTCTTCACCTGTGCATTCAAACCCCGCCACGCTGCAAAGCCCAGAGCAGTTTTAAGTCCCGCCTCTCCGGAAACCCTGTCCCAGCACGCCTCACCCCTCCTACAGTGAGTGGATTCTCCACTGTCTTCCATTACCATACATTTTTTCTTGTGCTTATGCTTTTGTCCCCCCAGCCCATTGTAAGCCTTTTGAAAGCAGATCCTTCCATAATATGATCCTCCTTGTGTTCTCAGAAAACTTGGCACAGTGCTCCAGAAGAAGTGGCTTGTGCTACTACAGAGAGCTCGCCCGGGGATGAGAGAGACGAGATTTTCATTCAGCTTCGCCTCACCTCTCTGGCTGGCATGCAGGCTCATTATTCATCAGATGAAGATGCTATTATTGCCTGCCATCTAGCTCACCAGGTGGCTGTAAGGACATGGTGAACAGTGCAGAAGGAAACATCTGGCATAGCACTTGCTTCCGGGGCCGTACAAAATAATAACGCTAATCCAAATCTAACCATCAATACGATGTGTTCAGCTCTTGCTAGGGGCCGGACATCTGCCGAGTAATCTAAACCCACTTTCTGAGAGGAAGCCTGGTATAAGGAAGAATCAGGTTCAGTTGCCAGACTACCTGGGTTGAAACTCTGGCCCTGCCACTTACTTGCTGTATGACCTTGGGAGACTCATTTAACCTTCCTGTGTCTTGGTTTTCTCATCTGTGAAATGGACTCAATGACACCACCTACTGCACAGAAACATCATGTCTATTAAATTAATAAAAAATTGAAATGTGCCTGCACATAGCACTATATAAGTGGTTATTAAATACTATGTCATTAACCCACCATAATTCTTATGTTATTATTATCCCCATTATATTGTTAAAGCAACTGACACTAAGTCCAAGGTGACGCACTTCTATTACCTACCTATGTCTAACTTACAATGTAGGGAGCCTCATTGTGGAGTGAGGATCGGGTGCAACATGTGGCAATGTCTGGACACAGTTTTGGTTGTCACAGTTGGGAAGTACTACTGGCCTCCAGTGGGAAAAAGTGAGCAATGCTGCCCAACCTACTGTAAGGCAAGGGGCAACCCCAACAACAAAGAATTAGCTGGCCCCAAACGTTACTAGTGTTTCCAGATTTAAAAAAAAAAAAAAAGTCACATAAGTCTGTTTCCTTCTAAGGTGAACTGGAGCCTCTGGTAGATCAGATGTCTTACTTTTGCTGAGACCGGGAACAGAAAGGTTCTGGACAGGTGTTTCATGCAGCCTGCCTTCTGTCTGTGGCGGTCAGCTCACTGACCCAGAAAGCTGGGATGAGCTGCCCATGGGTTTGGGAGTTCATAATAAATCCAACTGACTTAATTTTCAGTTTAGCCATCTCCCCATGTCAGTGTTTAATTCTCCTACTTCATTCTTTTTTTGCTCCAGGTTTACTAAGATACTGACATGACATATAACATAGTATAAATTTAAAATGTTCAATGTGATTTTATATATATATATATATGTATATGTATATATGTGTGTATATATATATATATATATATAAATGATTGCCACAATATGGTTAGTTAATACATCTGTCCCCTCATATAGTTATCATTCTGTGTGTGTGTGTGAGAATATTTATAATCTATTCTCTTAGCAACTTGCGAGTATATAATACAGGATTGTTACCTATAGTCACCAAGCTGCTTATTAGATCCCCAGAACTTAGTCATCTTATAACTAAAAGTTTGTACCCTTTGATCAACATCTTGTTTCCCCCACCCCCTAGCCCCTGGCAACCAAGAGCATACTCTGTTTCTAGGAGTATGAGGTATGGGGGTCCGTAAGCCAAATGTTCAGCTGGGTTTTCCTGAGGCTGAAAAGGTAAAGTAAATGCCAGGAAAGTGTGTGACCTCATTTTCTGAGGCTCTTTTGGAATCCTCCCTGAATGCTCAAATGTCCAAACATGACTGAAATTCAGAATCTGCTTGACAAGATAACCATGAATGGGCTGCTGTCCTTAAATAAGAGAAATGAAAATGACATGAATACGACCATCATTGATCCTAATTTCCATGGACGTAGTCATCAAGGCAAGAGCTCAGGTCGAGCTCCCTGGGCCCTGCCTGGGAACTCAGCAAAGCAGAGCAAGGAGAACACCTTGGGTAAGTGTAGCCTTATCTTGATGTAGCTGGGTTAGAGTTCTGGGTGTGAGTATCGATGGGCTTAGAAAGAAGGGGAGGCATCTTGGGTATAGTGAGTCAGTCATTCTTTGGTTCCTAGCCAATAAAGAGAAATACAGAAAAAGGAGTATCCTGGGATTGAGGAGATAGAGTGAGATTTCTTAAGGTGTTTGTAAGTCTCAACATGACTGTGCTTCTAAGAGATAAGAAACTAATGGAAAAAAGGAAAATATTTGTTAACTCAGTATCTGAGGACACACTTAATAACTTGCTGGATGTGCTAAGCGGAAAGGTGCCAAACCAAGGAGAGGGAAATAGAAATAAAGGGAAACAACACGACTGCAGCCAGGGCCTGTGACTTGTCCGACACCATGGTTTGCCAAGGGCCCCGTGCCAGCCACACGTTTATTGACTGTATCTGCAAGACACATTCCATCCCTGCTTGCACAGTGGGATTTTCTTCAGGTAAAATTCCTCAATTCTGCTTAGGGGATGTCTCAACTTGCCCTTGTTTCTGGCACCAGGCACATGCTCTCTTATTCACTCACCAGGTAGCACAGGACTCAGCAGCTCTTAACCGCCTGTCCACTCACCCTCAGGCTCCCATCCACAGGCCACGAAGCGTTCTGACCTGCTCGCTTCGTTCCCCTTTGGTTCGTCCCTGCAAAATCCTTCCAGTCCTCTGCTTCAGGACTGGCTGTAACTTACTGTGTGTTACAAGTATCAATGAGAGGACAGCAATTCAGTCCTACAGAAACAATTTGAAAGGCTTCATTCTGAACTCCCCAAGTAAATACAAGACAAAGACCTCTACTTTGGTCATGAACAGTACGCCCTTGGGGTTCATGAAGGTCCTTGGAGACCTTCATGAAAAGCTTCCCCCTCGCTTCCTCTCTATTCACTGGTTGTAGGTATGTTTTTAAGCCATTTCTCTGGCAATACGTACCTGCCCCCCTAAAATAAACAATCTAAGTTTTTGGATAATGATGGAACCAACAAATCATCTCTTCTGCAGAAACCAAGTGCCATTCATTTCCCAACTTTCTGGTTTTCTGTTAGTTTGTTGTTGTTGTTTTAATTTTACAATTAGAAGTCTTAGAAATGTTCCTCTTGGGCTTCATTGTGCCAGATCCAACACTTTTGCTTCAGGAAGCATACTAAATACTCATGGCAACAGGGCAACGGGGCACAAAATGGAGTGCTCAAGAAAATGTCTTTCCATGACTTGAAACATGCTGTCCTCTCATTTTCCAGAAGCCACAGCCCACAGTTCCTAAGCAGGCGTGCATTCTGCCTCTCCAGTCGCAGCTCTGGTCCCATTACACACTGCTCTCTATGCTCCCGTCACACTGGGCTTCTTCTAACAGAGCCCACTCACTCTCATTTCAAGGGCCGTGTACTCAGTTGATAATAAGGCCCAGACATCCCACCCCCAACCTTGCCAGGGGGAAGCAGTGTGTGAACCACGTAGGTGAAAATTTAATCTGATATTCTTAAAACTTACAGTTCCTATCTTCCCTTTTTCCTCCCTTCCCTTATTCATTCATCTCTTTTTTTTTTTTTCAACAGAAACGTGGAGTAACTACTGCCAATCACTCTTCCTCCCCTTGGGCATATAGAACTTTAAAATAAAATCTCACATGGGTTTGAGACTCTGGTGAGAAAGGGGTGGCAATCAGAAGTAAAAAAGTAAATGAAACGTTTGCAGATATTAAGAGCTATAAAGAAAAAGAAAAGATGATAATGGGATAGAGTAGGTAGCAAATGACAAGAAGGCTCCCTGGATTAAGTGATGAGTTACAGTCATGCTAATGACATGAATGACAAAAGCCAGTCTTACCTGGAAGTAGGGAGAGAAAACCACAAATAGAGAAGGTAAGGGCAAAGTTCTCAAGGCGGAAAGAGGCATGGGATGTTTGAGAAACACACAGGAAAAATGTTTCTGTCGTTGAGGGAGAATGAAAGGAAGTCAAAGTTTAGGCAGGGATTTAGTCATATAGGTCCTCGAATGGTGTGTAAAAGCCACATGGATTAATTATTCTGAGTGTGATAAGAATCCAGTGGAGCTTTTCATTCAGTGACAATGGCCCAGAAGGAAAAGTTAATCCAAAGGGTCTCCTCAGAGAAGGGATTGTAAAATTATCTGATTTTAGACATAATCATGGGTGTCTATGATTATGATGTAAGTTTTATTCTCAAGGATATTTACATGTATTTTTATAGAATCTTTGCTCTCAAAGACATTGCACTAAGGGCACAAAGTACAGTGAATGAGCTTCAGAAGTGAAGAAAGAAAAAGTCTTATGTACCTTTTAAAAATGCCATTCTGGTCACTGTTAGGGCAATGGAATGTAGCAGGAGAGGAGCAGACAAATACGTGTTCAGGTTATTTCAGTGATCCATACGGGAGCTGATGGGTACTGGGAACAGGAGAGTAGCAGTGGGCAGCTAAGAACTGATACGCAGGATATAATTTGGTGGTAGAGTCAACAGGACATGCTGCTGGAATGGATCTGGACATGGAATGGGTGTAGGGGGAGGGAAATAGTGGGATCTGGGAGGACCTCTAGGTTTTCAGCTTGGCAGTTGAGTGGCTAATAGTGTCATTTATGAAAGAAGCAGAAACACAAGAGAAAATCAATTAGGATGGTTGAGTACATCAAAGGTTTGGATGCATTAAATTGAAGATGCCTATCCTATATCCAAGAGTAGATGTTAAGAGGGTTGATTACATAACTCTGGACATCGGAAGCACCAGAGACATAAAATTGGGAGCAATCAGTTTAATGCCATGGGACTGGATGAGATCACAGTGAAATAGGAAAAATAAAGGGGTTCTGGAGCAAAGCACCAGATGACTTCAGTATCCTGAGAACTGAAGACAGCACTGAACTCTAGACTAAAATAACTCACCTCAATCCCTAGGAGCAAGGGCAGCGAGTCAACATTGTTACTTTGTGATTCCATGTGAAACACACATGTGTATACAAAACCTGATTTGGATCCCATTGTTTCCTGAGTCCAAGTGATGTTTGTAGTAGCCAAATAACAATAATGATGCTAACGTTTAAACAAAACTTAATATATGCAGGCGCCGCTGGAACCACTTTTTGTATATGAACTCACTGAATCCTCACAAAAATCTAATAGGACAGTGCTAGTTTTGTCCTCGCTTTCCATGGAGAAGACTGAAGAACAGGGACATTATGAAATCTAAGTTCACATGGCTACTCGGTGGTAGAAGGAAAACTTAAGCCTGCTTCCAAAGTCCATCCTTGTGGTTATTCAGATGTAGTGATTCTTAAGCAGTCCTCTCTATCTGATGATGCTACACTGAAAACATAGAGGTCTATGAAAATCCTGTCATTTGTGACTCTGGATCGCACACACTGTTAATTCTGATCATGTCCCTACTCCACTCTAGGTTCATTGTAAGTAAAGCCAAAAGAGCCCTTCTGCCCAGTTCTCTTCCTTTCTCTGGGGGCTCATGTAGGGCTTTGGGGGAATCATTTCCCAAAAGTCAAGTGAATACTACGTCAGAAGAGAAGGGGTTATCGACATCCTCCAGCCTACAGCTGCCCTTCTGATGATCCCCAGCATCTCGGGAGACCGCCCTCTGTCCTAAGCCCTGGGTCTCCTCCCGCCCCCAATACCACCACAGCAGACCTCACCTCACGCTGCCCTGTCCTCTAGCCACCGCACAATCAGCAGGGAAGGAAAGCAGCAAGAACATCACTGACAACAAAGAAAGCCTCTCCTTCATCACTGACTAGAAGCAAGAACCCAGATTTTTAATAACATCATATGGGGGAAAAAAAAAGTCAAAGCAGTGTCTCTATCCATGCGTGTTGTGGGGAGATGGGAGGGAGGTACCGATGCAAAACATAAGTCACTTCCCTTGATCTCAGGGAGTATCCAGACAATTCCTAGGAACCACAGACTACATTTAAGGGCCATCCTTACAATTCCAAGAATTGAGGCAGATCGATAGAACCTCATTAGGCCTCTTTCCTTCTAGTCTTCACCATAGACTCACATGAATGCATCTCTGCTTCTTGGCTAGATCTTATAATCGGGTGACTTTCCCCACAAAGGAGTGCAAGCTCGCCTGACCACAATCCATCTCTGAGAACAAGATGTTGGACAAATTTAAAACTCTCGCAAGCTAAGAGGTCTTCTTACAATGTGTTCTTCTCTTTCAAGAGAATGAGTGCCCTCCTCTGTGATGTTTTCTATGGAGGAATAGAGTATGGGACCTAACAGGACAGTATACCAGATGTCACAACTTAATGCCATGACTTCTAACACTCTTGCAGAAACTCTTGCTGAAGCAGAGTCTGCATCCACAGAATCCACAGGCAAACCCAAACTTTGTTCTCATGAAAGATTGTTGCAACTATGCAAAATGGAGCCTAGAAGGGTGAGGTGATCAATGAGTGGAATGGGGGAGGGGAGGTTAAACTGAGGTTGGTAGTTCCCTAGATAAAAAAAATGTGCAGAGGTCCAAAGGGTGAAAATATCTTTTTCAGTGATGTCTTCAGGCACTAAAAGTATTAAAAAATAATTACAGGTAGGGATTTTCATTCTATTAGGAAAAATAGATATGCAATAATGATATAATAGATATGTAATAAGTAGTAATTCTGGAATGCATGAAATATAGATGCCACAAATATTTATTTTTATACAAAGAGACCATAAGAATAATGTCCCAAGAAGGCACAAAAAAAGTTAGATCAGTGTAGACTGAAGTAGGTAGAGATTGTCTTTAATGTTCAAAAAACTTAAGATGGATTTTGAGTATTAGATAAAGTTTAGCTAAATGAAAGAGAAGGGAGAAGGAAGGAGGGAAATATTCTAGTCTATCTATCCATCCATTCCATCCATCACTCAATAAAAAGCTTATATGTGCTCTTCCTCACTCCTCTGGGCTTTTGTTCTTTTAATCATACCTTGGGTTAGAGTCCATTGCCCATCCCCTC